GCAACAGGAGAGCTGCAGCATAAAGACACAGAGTAACTCCAGCTTTATCATTTCCGTCTGTTTATCTGTGATAAGATTGCTTTAGAGCCTTTGCCCAAACAAGGGGGAGGGTGCATCCGACTCCTCAACTGCAATTGGTCCAGTCCAGAGTCGATCATGACCAATTGGCCAATCCACCACCTTTCATTGTTTATATTGTTACAAAAACAACCTTCCAGCCCACAAAAACTAAAAATTCTGGCCAGTCCAGCTGTGTCTGTCTCACAGCTCTTTAAAAACACTCCCTCTGATGTCATCTGATGCACCACAGGTGTACCGGGGATCCCACAAAGCACCGTATTGCCTTCCTACACCGAAAAAGGAAAACAAGCTCAAGAACACCACACATACACACACCAGCTCCTAATAGCAACATCTGCTCTTGGGGCCTGAGTAAGATGGTTATCAAAATGGAGAAAAAAAAGAACTTTGGCAACTCAGGCCCAAACTCATCTTTCCCCTTCAACCTGGCTCATCAGAAACGCAGTTTCAGGATTTCTCCATGTTTTTGGGAAGTTGAGGTGTTATATCTTTGTGGCTCGTCCACTGTCTGACCACACCTCTTCATAGTGAGTTTCACACACTCGCCCTGTGACCACAACTCCAACCTGGTGAGTGACCTTGAGCTAGAAGAACAGAGTAATACAAGCACTTTCCATTGAAAATATCTTGGGTCTAGCCTCTCTGTTGTACAGGTAGTGCTGACATTCCTGGGCCTGGAGCAAATTTTCTTGTGATAACGCTCTAATGTGTGTAGCTTTGCTCTTAGAACTAAATGTCCTGAATTTCATTTTCAGCTCTGGTTGGACCTTCCTCCCAGTTTTCTTTAATCAAGTCCAACACCCCTGTGGCTTCCTGCCAAACAACAATTCAAAGGGAGAAAATCATTTGGAGGTTTGGGGCACATTCACACAGTGTGTGTATACATATTCACATGCATACATCATCCAATGAGATAAAATACCAAAATAACTAAGAATAAACGTGGTTTCAAAGACATCTGAAAGCCTTTGAAAATAAGTTGGTCTTCAAGTTTGATTTGAAGATTTGCAAAGAGGAAGAGGATTTTATAAATGAGAGAAGACGGTTCCAGAGTTCTGGAGCAGCACTGGAGAAAGCCCTGTTACCTCTGGATTTTAACTGGGACATGTGACAGTTGTTGGATATCGTAAAACAACACATACAGATCAGTATTTAAGTTTTGACTCATCATCCACTGGAGCACAAACTGGGTGTCATCAGAACAAAACGACATGGAGCGAACACCATCCCCACTGTTACAGCAGCCAGGGGAGCAGACGAACATCACATCAAGAAGGTCCTGAGTAAATTTAGCTAATGAGACTGAATTCCACCTTCATACCATCTAGAAAAAAAGACAGCATAATAAACAATGTACTGTTTTTATAAGGGTTTTCCAGTACAGACATTCTGTACTAGGCAAGGCAAGGCAAGTTTATTTGTATAGCACAATTCAAAAACAAGGTGACTCAAAGTGCTTTACAGAGACATTAGAAACAAGAACAAATAAAAAGCATGATTTAAAATTGATTAAAACAAGCAAATAAACTAACTAACTAATTAACAAACAAACAAACAAACAAAACAGTATATAAAATCAAAACAGATCAAATCAGAACAGTAGATAAAATCAGTAGTT